ATGATAAGCATCTATCAATCCTATCATATAATCACCGTAAATCCAAAGCGCAAAAAACTATCACGTACCTTAATCATAGAAGACGTAAGAGAGAATTTGCCAACAAGTGTGAACTTGTATGGCGAAAAAAGATGATCCTCATCATCTTCTGTAAATAAGACTGTCAGCTCACTTGAGGACCTGTTGATCGTGGAGTCATGAGTGCAACCGCACAAGGCTAACGCCTTATGGCCGCATGGTTCGTTGAACTATCACTTTTCTTTGTTTTAGTCCCTGAACTCTTCGACAATACAATTTTGATCATTTTTACTTGTATTCTCGTTCCTTTATCTTCCAATTGCTTAAGCTTGTAGTATCTTTGATCTTCATTTTGTAGCCTAAATCAACCATTTAATTGTTGCACTTTAGTCCCCATAATTTTGATTTCTCCAATTTTCTCTATTTTTAGCTTGCTTTCTCCAATTCTTCATCCAATCATGAGTTTTACCTATTAAACACAGATTATAACAAACTAGGTAGTATTTAATCAAAAGAACTATAAATGTCATTATTTAAAACCCCAAATAGGCGTAGAAAATACACTTATCAAGGTACCAAAAAAAATCTTACAAAAGATTTCGAAAAGACGAAGATTGTTTCAAATAGTGACAATGATGCATGTACATCAATGCTTACATAATGTATTACATATTGTCACATGACACTCTATCATTTGCCAGTTTAAAACACGGTCAGTTTTTTCATCCAATATTTTCCCTCTACATCATTTCGGTCCCTTCTTCTAGTTATTTTTTCTGTACAAATAGCAAAATCCTTTGAGCAGATACCTTCAAGAAAGACGGGTTACAAAAGAGAATGTGAGAATAAAAAATGAGAGAAAAAAAATGAAGGTACCGCAAACATTAAAGCGCAAAGGAATGAGAACCGATGTCATCTAGACTATCCATTGTGAAATGAGGGAATTTAAAAAATTCAAATGAACGGTCCATATTAAGCCTTGTAAAATGATGTCATTTTGAAAATCTTGCACAAGAAGCTTCATCTTATTGGATCATATACCACCTCTGATCTTCTGATACATATTGCTCATGCACAAGCTACAAGAAGAACTGTCTCCCACCAAGTTGTGAAGCAGAAATTGAGACTGGGAATCAAGGTCCGATCTCTTCAAAGGTAGAACTCAGACTTGGGGGGAACAACTGTTGTTGCCGATATGAAATCCATGTCAGATAGGTTTAGGGTTTCTCTTGATTTGGTGAAAAGAGCTTTCTTGTCAAAGAGCTCATACACACAACTCGACAACCTGATCTAAGACCTAGTCGATAGAGGTCGGAATTATACTATGATGAATGTTATTTGGAAACATCATTATAACAAAGGAAGTGCTCCTCCTTAACACTAGTACTGTTTAAACCAACCAATTAGAAAGATGACATGATAGCCTAGTACCCAATCACAATGCCTAAGTATCGTGATGATCTAATAGCAGCTACACTCACCAACCAATTAGATTTTTTCTAAAGGACCGTGGCTCGCACCCTAAGTTGGAACACTATAGCTTGACTATGACTAGGACGGCAAGCTTGAATCTATCAATCTATATAAGAGACGAAAGGTAAATCAAAAGGGGGATACGAATTGAAATTCCCTCTGTGTAATTATAAAATTCCAGCAAGACGACAATTTTATTCTCTTCAGATTTCTAGAAGTTGATCAAAAAATGCCACATCATTTTTCGTCATCAACACCTTCCATTTTTAATTGGGTGGAACGAGTTCAAATTCTACTTGTTGACGTGCAAATTAAGTGAACAAAAACGTCTATTTAAGAATAGTATTCCTAATATTCTAATGTTTGACACAAGATACGTATTTGAAATATTTTGCAGCTAAAAATTTTATAACCACCAATTTGATAGGTAATATTGGAAGGAAAATAAAGGACAAGATGAATGGGAAATGATGCTTTAAAGATAAGAATTTAAGGCTAAAGCACCTAAATGCCTAGAGTATTTCTTAAAAAAAAAATATTCTTGGGTCTGCCGACTGCCATCCATTAGATTGGAAAATCTTTAATTTATTCTTTTGTTTTGAAATATTTAAAAAAATTGAAGAAAAAATATTCCTACAAAATGCAATCCGACATCAACACATGGACAGTGGACGCATACAAATTATTTTGTTTTTAATAATTTCACATTGGATGCCTTCATGTGCAAAACGACGTGAGGTGTTGAGGCTGTAAATAATTTATTTAAATTTTTAATATGTAATAAATTGTAAATATTAATTTTTGAATAATTTATCTTTTTCCTTACTTTTAACGAGGAAAATTTATTCTTTTATGTTTCTATCAAAATACGTTACTTATCTATTTCTATTTTTCACCAATAAAGTAGTGACGTCCAAAATAAAACAAAGATGTTTCCTATTTTTCTATTTAATTGTCGATTTAAGTTGATCATTGAAGTATCTATCTGAAGTACGATAAGTTTTCTACAACTACGTTTGTAATTTAATAGCCATAGTGGGATATTTGTCATTTTTTGAAGATGTTATTTCGTTTTCCAACTGAGATTGCAAGCATATTTCTTATATAAAATGACAACTAAGAATCTAAGAATAGGTTCTATGAGCTTTGGAATTAGTATTACATCTCTGTATATATCTAACATATATATATCTTTAAAAAGTATCATTTACATCATCAACATTTTATTTTGATAGCACTTAGGTCCCAAATGGATGATTTTACCCTTTAATTAACAAGTTAGTCTTTTGTTAAAATATTCACACACTGTCTACGAAATTGCCTGCTTTTGATTATTTCCTTTTCCCCACAAAAAAATAGGGAATATTTATCAGCAGAAATTTCCCAACATTTCATGTTTGTTGCACTTTGGTCCTCAACTTTTAAAGAGTGTTATTACATCCTCAACGTTTTATTTGGTAGCACATAGATCCTTGGTGGACCTTTTTACCCTTTTCTTCAATTAAAAAGTCAGTATTTTATAAAAAAAATATATAAATGAAACACTCGCGCCTTCAACAACTAGCCATCTATACATTAGTGAAAGATGTATCTGCCTACCAAGGTAACGTGATACTATGGATGAGAGTTAATTTCTAACTAACCTAAAGTGATAGAATATATTAGAAAATGTTGAGAATGTATAAACAAAGTTTACGTTGATTAATGTCGTAGACGCTGGATATATAAGAGTCTTGACTACTTAATAGGTTAATATATTGAACGGGAACCTCGCGTTCCAATAAGTGGTACCGAAGCTAGATCCTTCCAAGTTGTAAAAAAATCATGTCCAAAATTTACCCATCTAGAAGCACAACACAAATGTCCAATTGCAAGAATGAAGTTGGTGGACCCAAATCATGAAATGAGACCTCGATGAAACGTGCGATACTTTACGATTTGAGGAAGAAAAACACATAAATTATCAGTTCTGAAGATCAATTTTATATGATAATTCATTTAGCTAATTGTTGAAAAAGTACAAATAAATGGTTGCAAATAGAATAATGATTACATAAAAGGTTTAAATACTCATTACATAATAATTTACATAATTGTTTAATGATGTGGTAAAATATGATTATATCTGAATTTTTTCAACCAAATAAAAAGAAAGACACATTGTCTGTATATAAATTATTTTTTAACTCCATTATCTATAAGTAACATTATTTTTAATATTTTAGATTTAAACGAAAATAATTATAAAATAAAAATAAAAACGAAGAAATCACAAAATAAAATACAGCCGTGGGTACCAAGGGATAAACCGGGCCCAACAGGCCCCCCCGACTGCACAGAATGGAAACTCCTCAATCTTTAGTCTTTAGCACCAGCGGCGCAAGTTAGCTGAGACCCTTTACGTATGTAAAATACATTAAACACCCTCAAATCAATCATAACACAGTGTCATAATCCGAAATCCATATGGTCAAAAGAGTAATTTGGCTTGCCAACACGAGTATAAAAGGACGGTGCCTCACCTCATTGAACTTTACTAGATCAACTGGCAGCACTCAAATATAGCAAAACTATCATTTGGTCCGCTCTGGTATCCTATCGTCGTCTCCTGCCGTCAGTCTAAATTTCTCATTTTTTTCCGATTCGGAGGTTAATTCCCTCTGTTCCACCGGAAAAATTCATCGGAGCTGGGAGAAGTAGTGCTTCGTATTATGGGATTTTGTATCTGTCCGTTGGAAACTCCGGCGAGGTTGCTCTGGACCACTAGCTTCTTCCGCCACAAGCTCAGGCTATTCTAATTATACTCAATATCCGACATCGTATTATAACCCTAACTTTGAACTCTAATAAGTAGAGTTAATTCTTCACCGGAAAAACTTATGTACGCACTTGCCTGTGTATACGTATAGAGATATATTGGTATTCGATTGCAGGAGATCTGAGAAAAGAAATGGATTTTGGGCGTATTTTCTTTAATTCCTCGTATTCTGGCAACATGATTCCAGGAAATGGTGATTCCATTTTTCAAGGTAATTACCTAATCTTTTCGTTTTTCCTTTTATTCGCAATTTAACTATGCGACGCTTGTGATGCTTCTAGAGGGATTTATTATTATTTTTTTATCACGGTTAGTTGTGTTGAAATACTCTCTTTATGTTGAAGTTATTTGTTATTTTTGTATAATGATTTTGTATATGTAGACTTACATATAATTTGCAAATGTTATAGGAGCAACATCGGTGATGAACATGGAGGAAACCTCAAAGAAGCGACCATTTTTCAGCACACCGGAAGAACTCTATGATGAAGAGTACTTCGACGAGCAGTTGCCGGAGAAGAAACGCCGTCTCACTCCTGAACAGGTCGATTGATTTTCTATTCTTATCTAGTTTTCCAGAAAATTTGATATGGTATTCTTGCTTTTGATGCATATCTTGTTTTCACCTTAGCATCTAAAAATTCCTTTTGGATAAAATTATAGAAGGCATATTCACTTTCTTTCTATATGAACAATATCGGCATTCAGATTCCCTCAAAATCTAACCAGGAATCGAGTCAATTGATTAATGATTATGTAAATGATTACAATTTGGCGTGAATAAGAAAAATTCTCATTTTCTTGTAGTATGTAGTTACACTTTTTGTATGATTTATAGGTGAACTTGCTTGAGAAGAGCTTTGAGGCAGAGAACAAGCTGGAGCCAGAACGTAAAACTCAGCTGGCCAAAAATTTGGGATTGCTGCCTCGACAGGTGGCAGTATGGTTCCAGAATCGCCGTGCACGATGGAAGAACAAACAGCTTGAAAAGGATTACGATCAACTTAAATCCTCCTATGAGTCCCTTTTGTCCAATTATGACTCCATTCTCAAGGAGAACGAAAAGCTCAAAGCAGAGGTAAAATCACATCTAGCTAACTTAATTGTCTTTCAGTTTGTGTACAATTTCTCAAGCTTTTGAATCTTCTTATTTTTATAGTTTTGCCCATCTCTTTAGATACCATTTAGGAGTCTTAAAAAAAAAAAGGCAAATTAGGGTATATATTGTGCCTTCTATCAATACTAAACAGCATAATTCAGCAAGCTTATGATTAAATTAATGTGAGCAGTGTATAAAAAATAATAACTTTAATTAAAGTTATCACAGTATAATACTTTGCTCTTTTTTCTCTTGGGACTGGGGGGGGATGGGGTGGGGAGTGGAGACCAATAGTTTGGATTAAAAGTCACAATTCTTGCGGGTGACAGTCACTTGAAGTTGACTTGAGGTGACAGTAGTCTTCTAATATTATGGTTCAGGGAGCATGGTTCATGGAGCACTTTATTTGTTGAGACTCCCTCATTCCCTTTCTTAAGTGGACAAGGTGTAGCATTGAAACTGCAGTTTTGGGCTCAACTGTTTCCAGAGTTGCCAAATGAGATAGAATAGAGTGCCATGTCTTTATTGGGAGCACATACTGAAATGGAATTTATAAATTGATTAGGATCTGTTCCATGTAGATTTTTTGAGAATATATTTTGTAAAAAAAATGATTTTTTGAAAAATGTGTGGTTAAAAAATAGGGAAAATTATGGGTTCACATGCAAAATTATTTTATTGGA